GGCCCACTTCCCAAAATACTTACCCTGTTAATGACCAAAATCTGCGATTTTTGCTACCCTATTTATGACCTGACCAAAAATTCGATACCCTATCTATGACCGTTGCGGCTGGCACAGTTGCCCTGAACATAAGTTAGAAGGGCTTTTGCTGACGGTCTTATTGATGATGATTAAAAGTAGCCTCTTCTAAGAATCATACCCAATTCAAGACTAGAGTGCTAAAACCATACCCTATTTATGACCAAAACGGCTGAAAAACCCTACACTTTGGGGCCGCACATACCTATATAGCCTACATGAGGGAATACGGTACCCCCCCAGGTCTTTCAGCTGCTGTGACCCGCTCGAAAACCTACATGAGATCCTGAAGCATGTGCCCACTTGGACCCAGGGTAGGGTTCTGTTGGGAAGCACTAGTAAACAATGTCCGAACGTTGTGCCGGGACAATAATGAGAAACGCTACCAAAATAAAACGACCGTGTAACCTTGCTCCCATGAAAAAAAAGTTTAAAAAGGCGGCTAAGGTGGTCACTCTCTGGGGTATGAATGTCACTTAGAACAGAAGCCACTAAGACCTAAAGAGTTGATTACTTGGAAAGTCAATCTCCCATACTATGACAGTGAGTCAACAACGTCCTGTATCTGTTTTTCTTTTGAGAATTAACCTCTTAAGAGTTTTCGAGCGTCTGCTTCCTCGTAAAAAGGCTTACTACAGTTTGTCATGTTTGTCAAAAGTTGATAAGGAAATTCCCGTTAAGTTCGTTTTCTTTCTTTGTTGCTGTTGGTAAAGGAGTTGCAACTGAATGGCAACTATTGCGTACCGATGTGTGACACTAAATATCATGCCAGGCAAATTTGAAAACAAGACAAGAAACCTCTGTGCTTGACACATTTATTCCATCTACTCTTCAAAAAAGGGTACTAAAAATTTGGCCGACCGTGCAGTATAACCAGACTTCATGCCACGGCTTCAACTTTACATTATGAAACGACACCAAAAGAAACCACACCATAATTGGCAGATGTAAAAGCAGTCCACTCATGATAGTACACTGGCTTTGACTTCTCCATCCCTGCTCACATGGTCACTGCTGTTTAGGCTTTAAATTCGATACTGGTCTTGGCAGAATTTCGGTTAAAATGGAGAAGTTCTGTACCAAAAACAATAAAGAAAATCTCGGTGACCTTGTTAATTAGAAAGAGCTTTGGCAAAATTGCGTTTTCTGCACGCTCTGCATGCCTGTCATACCAAAGAAAATTATCCATAGGCCTCCGAAGCGTCCAAAGGGCTACTCCGACGAAGTGCAAGAGCTATGCACTGCATTTATCGGTAAAGTCAAGAAGATTTGCGTGGATGGATGGCAAGGAATGGTCGTAAACCATACTTATTATAAGAAATAAGAACACACTTACCACAAGGGCCAGATAGAACACACCAAGATACGATGCAATGCCAAGGGCAAGAAACAAGTCAAATATGGCTGGCTTCACCCTACAACAAAATCACAAGATGTTCACTTTGATGCTTCACACTGAAAAGGCACCATGCTTAAATTTGATTCCTTGCAAATAACCTGAAAAATTTCATGAAAGGTTATGACTGAAAAAAAACATAAAACAAAGCAAAACATGCCTACACATATGTTGAACGAGTGGCTGACAACGCAATAATTGTGTTAGAACTACAAAGTAGATGATGTTATTCCATAAAAAAAAGTACCTCTGGCTTTTTCATTCACACTGATGGAGATCAAAATAATACATTTCTGGTCCTGTTTCTGGTATTACAAGTTCCTATCACGCTTCACATTTTATGGCACAGGTTTAGGTACAAAACCACCCTGAGGGGTTATGACCGGTTGTGCACCCCTCCACCTCCCAGCCATACTCTTTCCCTATTTCCCCCTAGCCCACAAGTGCTTAGGTGTGATTCGTAGCTGCTGTGAAGGAAAGGAGACTCGCTCCTTCCTGAAGACCAGTCTTGTGGGAGCAGTGGAAACACCTACCCAAGAGAATGAATTTGACAAAAAGCACCAAATTCAGTTTTTAACCACTTTTATGGCTAGTTTTGTACACAAAGTCACCTCTAGTCAGCCCAGGAACACACCTAAATTTAGAATAGTGTCCTATTTGAAGGTATGCTATTTGCCAAAGACGTAATGATCAGTTCTTACCTATAGGCAAACATGGTCGTGTCTGGCCTGTCATAAAACACAAATTCAGGGTCCCTGCAAAAGTTGGGTACATAAACTTTGAAATTTTTTAAGAGTTTTAGGGTTTTGCATTGTACACTTTCATTGATGGGAAAACCACAAGTAAGTGACATTGACGGCAACATCATTATCACTACTTATTGTTTTTTTCAACACTACAGTCCTCACCTTTTATCAGCTTTAGCTGAGACCCTCTTTACATCCTTGACATATTTTGAGAAACTCTGTTAACATAAATAAACAAATTTTAAGTACAGAAAAAAAAGCAAAATTGAAAAGGTGCTGCTGGATTTCAAAACAAAATAAGCACAATGCTCTGGTGGTTGCCCCTCAAAAAACCTTGCAACTCTACATCTATGATTTCAATGGACCTTTTTGGCAATACAGCAGTCATTTTGAATTCTGTTGTTTCAAGTAACTATTATGGGATGCTCAGAGAGCAAATTAGTAAGTATTTGCCCCCTGAGTATCCCATAATAGCCATTTGAAAAGGAATTACAATTCAAAGTGGCCACTGTATTGCCAAAAGTGGATGCAATGAGGTGTTGATGAAATTAATAAAATATGAAAACTTTTTAAGCAAATTCACAAGTAGAGGTAGAATTATCACCATTTAGTGCCAACCTCTCAGTAGTAACAAAAGAAATGTACGGCAATTAGTAAAGGAAATTTACACTCTAGACTTGCAAACACTTTCAACTCCAACTTACAATATATATTGGCCAACGTTGAGCAAAAATTAATTTCAAAATGCATGTATCAATCATGTCTCAACACAAAGTCTGGCAGCTGAAAGATCAAATCAACTTTTATACCTGTTCTAGTCCTGTAAGAAATGGATGATCCTTATGAAACAACTGAGCCGCACGTGCTTGTGAGCCTAGGTAATCCATCCAGGTTTTAACAAAATGTGAATCTACAGCCTAAGGAAAACAACTAGCGTTATCACAAAAATATGTGTACCTCAAAATAAATTTTAAAAAAATTGGTAATAAGGTAAAACATGGTAATAAGGAAGTTTAGAGTGACAAATGAACTAGTAAAATACCAATAAATGACCACATTGTGGACAAAAACTGCAGACTACTGAGGTTTCAACATGGCATAACAAATAAAGACGTTAGTGCTTTCAAGGAAGGCAAAGATAATTCATTAAGTAAACTAAATAAATAAATAAATAAATAATATTATTACAATATTTAGAGAGGAAGCCACATCAAACTTAGCTGGTTTCATGCGGGTCCTCTATCCTGGTCAAATTGGAATTTAGAGAAGTTGGTTTTTGTGGAGGGAGGAAACCACAGAACCTGGAGAAAACCATTGGAGCAAGGCAAAAACCAACAACAAACTTAGCCCACATATGACACTGGGCCAGAATCAGACCCACGCTACTTTGGAGGGAAGCAAATGCTCTCACCACTGTGCCATCCGTGCCACCATTTCATGGCAACATACTTTCCAACAGTAGAGGATTCCTTCTACTCACCATAGAAGCACTAAAGATTCTCATATTCTTTGGAAAACCCTACAAAACATACAAAGGAATGTTACCAGATACTGTGTAGGTTTAGACTCTACTTCATACTCCTAAAAACATTCGGTAAGCATCAAGTAAAAGTCACATCTGTGTTACGGTAAAAACCCCTCTCTTCAAGAGCAAAGATTTGTCCAGGTTAGGCTAGAAAGGTTCTTATAGAATTAGATGTGTATATGGGTTATTGACCAAGTGTGACGTCAAGAAGGCTGGAAATTGGCCAAGTTCTTTTTGTGCATATTTATAGACCGAGAAGGAGTCGAGGACCATAAACATGCAAAAAAAATGAGGCCAATATCCAGCCATATTGACTGAATAAGCTTAGTCAATAAAGGATTTATTGTTACTGAAAGAGAACACTAATTTCTTGCAGCAAGATAGTACCTTCTTGCCCACCTGGGTAATCACAGCACAGGATTCGGTTCATCTTGCCCACTCACAGACCAAACCATATAATAAATGTAGGTCACTACTGAGAATTTAAGCTATTGACATGTAGCTTCTTACAAAGGTACTTATTTTCTTAGAGGCAAAGGGGGTTAATATTTACTCTTATGTACAAGAAAAATATAATTATGTCTAAGAGTAAGGAAATACTGCACACACTCTGCTTTGGATACCCTGATTGATTTTAGGGTTCTTCTCACGTCAACAAAATTAACCCAGCTCAGATCACCCACATTCATGCCTGATACAAAAAAATACTTGTCTCAAGTTCTAGCTTCTACAATATCTTATATAGTGCGGGTTTCAATTATCAACAGTAATTTAATTCTAGCCTACACAATCTAAATCGCCGGGTTCTTATTGGTGTGTTTCTAGTGTGCTTGAAGTATAATCATTCAAACCAAATAAGAAAATTAAAAGAAGAAGAAAAAAGAAGAAGTTATCAACCAGTCCTTCAATTATTATAATGCAACTCTATGGGCTGGTGACCTTACAACAGCTTGCAAGATACAAAATCAGTCCTTCAAAGAAGTGTCACATAAGTTAAATTATTGCAAAGTTCTCTTCCACTCAAGACTACAAATCTGTACAAGAGTGGCTTTTGACAAAGCTGTTGATCTCCTTTCTCCCCTCGGCTCAGATGAGGTACCATGTTTCCAAACTGAGTGCAATTCATGGAGAAAGGAACATTGAAACTTACAAGTGCATGTGACTGCCAAAGTTAATAACAAGAAAACAGTAATCAGAATTCATTCACCTAAGGCATAGGGGGCTCACCTTTGTTGTTAAATTAAAAATATGCCTAGCAAGAACTTCAGCAATGAATTCTATATTGCGCTCTAATTTGTTATCATTCTCAGATGACCTGAAACAAGATGGATAGAAAAGACTTTTGATACACACACACACGGATGCCATAATGTTAAAACCAAAAATAGAGTTTCAATAATCATTAAGTTCTGTGTGACCATGCTTTCATGTTCACATGTTACTCTTTATTGTACTGTGAAGATGATTGTTACTTTTCAGTCTGTTCTTAAATTCTCAGTGTGTGAGCACACAAAACCCACAGAGCAGTAGCCTTACAATGTATGAGGTACTGTTTATTATACTACTATGTAGAAAGTGAAGCCCACAGGAAAATGGAAGTAAAATCTTGTCAAAACAAATCCAGGGGAAACAACTGTAGGTTGGTAGTCTGTCCACAGACTTTATTTTGGCTACAAGTTATTTTTCTTCAAGTGTGCAAGATCGAGCGCAAAATGCGAAGGCAGCCACCAAGCAGATGCAAAAAATTTAAACTCTAGGGCCACCCCTTGCATTCAGACTTTTTCAAATCCCCTGCAGTTGATACTTCTGTTTGCAATCCTGACAAACTAAAGACAAAAAAGAGGGTGTGTGGACAAACTACATGTAGGTTTGAGCCACTATGAGGTTTGAGAAATGGAGGGTTCAAGAAATCAGGATTCCACCATAGTTTCATGTGGTATTATTCTGTATGCCAAAATGATTAAAATCCTGGTTCAGTATGTCACATTCAAATGAAAGTTTCATGTACTTAGCAGGAAGGTCATTTTGAGTTTTCTCTTTTTAATATTTTGAAAATGAAATTGGGTGATGTTCTCCAATTATGAACTTTAGAAATTAAATGTAGGCAAGAGGCCATGTCAATAAACCCCACCTAACATCAAAGATTGATGATCTTCCTAAGACTTGAGGGTCTTCAAAGTGAGACAGAGTTCCAGCAGGAAGACGCTGCGTGTGAAGTGAAAACCTCTCATGCTCCCATGACAATGTTTCTTCAGCCAAATTGATTTTCTTGTGTATCATAGTAAAGTTTACTTCTTTGAAAATAGCTTCTGCTACCTAGTAATGAAATTAGAAAGTTTCATTTTAAATATTTACACTGTAAACTCTACACAGTCACATAAAAAAGCAACAACAGAGATTTCTTTAAAAATATACCGGTATTAACACAATAAATCACAGCATCTGCATCAGTCTCTCTTACCGTTTTGAATTCCTGTGAAATGAATAAGAGTAATGCCTTATTAGTAAAAGCAATGCCATTTTTAAAAGCTTTGTTCTGCATCATAAAGGTTATGTCTGCATATGAGCCAAGTCGCCCACCAGGCCACAACTTATCCTAGTTTCTGTAGCATAAAGCAACTAAGGGTATTTCTACTCCCCCCTGGATGGGGTCCTAGGCCATCGCAGGGTTACCCTGGGCAGCATTAAATTCGCTGGTCCCCATTAATACACCTGGGTGGAGAGAGGCACTGTGAGTGTTAAGTGTCTTGCTCAGGAATGCAACACAGTGTCCCTGGCCAGGGCTTGAACCTGGACCATTCAATCTGAAGTCAAGCGTACTAGCCATGAGGCCAATGCATCTCCACCTGCATCATAAAGGACCACTTCAATATGCGCCAAAATGATAATGCAACAGACAACACGTAGTGTAGCTAGTATGTTCAATATAAGTTTACACAACTGTATCTTCTTATCATTCTCTGTAGTTCAAATATATGAACTTTCATATATTCACTTGTATTCTTCACCTTCTACGGGTATATTACAAACTCACAAAGTGGCCAGCTCCCAGTTAGCTTGATAGCTCAATTGGTAGAGCACTGCACGGATATCACAGAGGTCATGGGTTCAAATCTCATTCAGGCTTTAATTTCACAACTGCTTGAGTTGTGTGCATAACTGCAATGATCAATCATACATGTATCTTCACAAGTTTACACTGTACCTCAACTAAGGCAAATGCAGGAGTTCCTTCCTTTGGAGGTTTGGAGACATGCAGAAACAACTGATCTGTGTTTGCAATACTATCCAGACATAACACATAGTCCACATCACTGAGCACACTTGTCTCTGTTGAGAAACAAGAATATAAACAGGTTAGGGCTATCACAGCTACTGACAACAAGCATTATCTAGACACTTGACTAAGAAAGCAAACAACTTTGTTTGTGCCTTTGTAAGTTACCTAATGCTTGAAGTGCCAGATAATTTTGAAAAGGTGTCTGAGTGCTCCTTTTCACAACATGTTAACTCTTTGTAGGGCAAGGCTTAGCTCAGTGATCGGTACGTTGCTATTCCTTTGAGTGTTGCACTGTTTGTTTTGCTCATTGATTTGTACTTACATGTACATGTATTGAAGTTGAGCATTTACTGGCAAAATGAGAATGAGCTTGAGTCAAGGGTTTAAGGACAAAGGTTAATTAAAATATATAAATTTCTTTACTTAAAGTTAACTGTATTTAGCACTGGTGTACTAACTGGGGACCATGTAAAATATAAATACACAAACATTACAAATAGAACATAATATTATGAATCCTAACTGAAGGGAGGCTGACTATTTGGCTATTTACATGATGCAGTCAAGGAGTTGAACTCAGGGCTACTGAGAAATGAATTCTTATAGTGGTAGGGTGGAGGATTTGAACCAGGAACCTCCAGCTTTCAAATCCAACACTCCAAACTACATGTACTCAGCCATGTCACCTTCACTTCTTGCAGTTGCTCACAAAAAAGTGGATCAAATGAGTGCACGCTCTTTACAACTCTAAAGAAAATGTTTGTCAATAGAAGGTTTACATTTGATGATAACACACTGGATTCAAAAAGAGAAGCTGTGACCCCAAGAGAGCATCAAGCCACCTGAGAGTGAGAGTATGAACTCATGACAAGTGTTGTTCATATTTTGGCCCAGGCTTTACAAGTAGACATACATGTGCTAAATGGAAGCACAGATGAATATTAAAAAATTCTCTTGAGATGATTTACCAGTATTTATTTGTATCATTGCTTCTTTTAACATGGATTAGTAGTTAGTAAAAAAAAATAGTTTATCACCTTATGGGTCTAAGCAATGCTACTTTGCATCTACAAAAGTGGGAAATAAAGTATTAGAGAATGTTACAAACTACAAGGTGGGAGAAAGTAAACTAGTGCACTAACCAGGATTGTCCAGATTGTCTTCAAGCCATCTCTTAGTACCTTGGTAATTAAATTTTCCACCACCAGAAAGAAAGAACACCAAATTGTATCTATTTGTTGTCAAGATTGAATTAATAAATACAAAACAGAAATAACTATATTATACTTGTGATAAAATTCTGTTGATGGATAACCAATGATAGACTGGGGTCCCACTTAGGAAGGTTCTCATACTCCTGCATGGTCACATTATGGCACAGACAGTGGAAAAAGCTCTGGTACCTACATGTAGTAAGCACCACTTTGGTATTAAAAAAGATTTTCAGGATTGCCATTAACTTTCAATTCACCTGTAGCCTTGATCTTCACACCCATAGCAAACTTGTTTCTTTTGGGTGAATTGTATACACTACCAGCAAGTTCACCCTTAACATCAAGGGCCCATCAAACATACTCAGCTGTAGCAGCTGTTAAAGGTTACGGCCCTTATCAACAGCCCTGGATTTTCACTGACTGTATTCCAGAAATCCTACATTAAATTAACATTTCTGTTCACAACAGTTATCTGATTAAGTATGAAAAAGTATCAAGCACGAATAAATAATGTATTACATGTACGAATTAAATGTGTCCTTAAAAAGGATACCTTGCTTGCATTCTAGGATCTGAGTACAATCTGAAAATTGAAAGTAAAGGTCATTAACAAATGCAAGAATTTCAAGGAAACAAGACCTACAAACAAAAGGCAATGTCAAAAACTTTAACGCAGCTTTGTTTTCAGATTATCCATCCTTTCTACATTAGTTATTTTCCAAACTTATCTTGTTATGCAGAAATGTCACCAATGGGACAAAGAGGATTAGATGATAATACTAACTACGTCACAATCATATTTTATGGACAGTGGACAGGATAAGTTCAGAAAGTCCGTATTGTTTGTTTATTTGTTACCAACTGCACTGACGTTAAAAACACTGATATTGGAAGAGATTTAAATATCAATCACTCTATGGAGTTCAGCTGAATTTGACAGATTGGATTAGAAATACATGTACATGTACAGTGTATATGTGCAACACCACAAAAATTAAAACAATTATATGGCAATCGTTGCTGACATCACTATCTACATTTTGCCTGATTAGCATATAACTGTGTGTACAAAGGGCATCATGAAATATACAGCATATATTGACTCCAAACAGTTATTTTATAAAGAGCTTGTTAAACTTAGTGATAAGTGAACGTTTTAACTCTTCAAATGTCACATTGTAGGAGATATTACCCCTCAAAAATGGCACTTTTGGGGTGTCAAAAGCACTAATGAGCCCATACCTGGGTAACAGTTTCAGTTTTTAAACCTGCATGCCACCAAAAGTATCTAATACAGCCAACACAAAATTCTTTGAAACAGTTAATCATGCCAAGTCCTTCAGTACTCAGAACTGATTTAATTTCTCTAGCTTGAACAGACTGAATTGCTTCTACTAATGAGGAAAATATTCCAAACAAAGATTTCCCTTTGAAAACCATTCTATCTTTTGCAGTTAATTTTGCAAAGTTCTCTTCCACTCAAGACAACACATGGCACAAGAGTGGCTTTTGACAAAGCTGTTTAATCTCCCTTCTCCACTTGGCTCAAGTGAGGTACAGTGTTACTAAACTGAGCACAGTTCATGGAGAAAGATTGTGCACTATAGTGATAAGTTGAATAAAACATTCTTGACTACTTGTCATGATTGAAATTTCTCATTGACCTTGAAAACAATCTTGCTAATTCCAGAAGAGCAACAACTCCACTACCATTGTCATCTGATCCAAATGAAAGACTCTACAAAAATATAATAAGTTTGCATACAGGTTACACAAGGAGTGAGAATGTAACATTTACATGCTTAAATTAATCTTCTTTCTGATGATGTACTGCCAGCTATTATGGACAAAACTTAGAGAGGAGGTGGTGTAACTTGCATTTCAGACCTTGCTAAATGTGATGTTTACATGTAATAACATACATGTAACAGAAACTGTATGTTAATAATTTCATGAGAGAAATCTATAAATAATGACAACTTCACACTGCTTTAAGTGTGTACTGCAAATTCTGCGGTCGTTGAGTATTCATATAATCCGTCTATTGTTCTTACTCATCACTTATTCATAACGAAGTTCTGCCAAAAACATGGCATGTTTCCGAAGACTGCGAACTCTTTGATGTAGGTGAGACATTTTCTTTTATTTCACAGAGAAGAAATAAAACCCTAAGGACTACATATGATAATGTCTGCTTGATAGATTTTAAATTCATAGGATGTGCGCCACAGCTGGTGCCACCATTTTTGCCAAAACAGCAGACTGCCTTTTCGCATAAGCTCCCAAAGGAAGCTTGCCTGACGGCAGGGAAAATTATTTAAAAACAGCTTTGCAACACATTACAAGTGTGTTAAAATAAATTGAATACAGAAACAAACCAGATATTTTTATCGATAGAGAGAGATTTTGTTTCAGTGGATTTTCACCACAGAATGACCAGAAACATTGGTCAATATCTATGCTCTCAATGAAGTCTTTTAAAAGTTTTAAATAGCTTACAAGCATCGTGCTTAACTACCAGCAGTAGTTAAAGGAAAATTTCAAATCCATTAAGTGACCTGGACATTCACCATGCATTGAAAAACAATCCTGATGCATGATTCCAAATGTGGTCCCATTTGAATTAACAATGGCTGCCGCTAGCGTCCCGTGAACAAAACAGCTCCTTCAAGATCTCTTTTTAAAGCTCTCAATATGATCTGTATTCTCAGTTACATAAGCTTAAGTTACATACAGTGCAAAGAAACCGAATCCATAAAATGACTTCAATGACTACTTTGAGTTCATTCACACATCACGAACAAAAGGATACGTTCACAAGTCGTTCACTCATGGTCACTCTAATTGTGCTATTAGTGAAGTCTTTTGAAGTTGCTTGAGCATTGTTGAGGTTTCCTTCCAAAATATCTCACCTTTTTAAAAACTGAATAAAACCAAACGTATTCAAGACACTTTTGGACACTACCAAAAGCAATGCCCAAAGGAATAAACTAAGCCTTCAAGCTACTGTACAACATCCGGCAGTTTAAGCCATTTGAGAAAGACACACTTACAGCAGCGTGGAGTTGTAATGTATAGACTGAAAGGTCTGCTTTATTCAGTGTTCCAGATGAGTGAGGGTCTCAGGTCAAAAACCTGACAAGGTCAGCTACGTGACTCAACAAATTAACAGAAAGTTCATAATGATTTGGGGGAGCAGTGGGAATTGACCAGTTGGAATTCGTTATTGACGCCCTGCCTTGAAAACTTATCTGGAACCCATGACTGCTACTATAGTACTTATGTTGCTCTTACAAGAGGGGGCCAACATGGCAGATGCTAAATCAGCCTTGTAGTTTGCCGAGTTTTATGGCCCTTGATGTAATTTTTTATGGTCACATTGTTCCTCCTTACATCTACAATCTCCATCTTTATTTTGTTGTTTGCAAGAAAACTGTTTGTCATTTCAACAAAATTTAACAAAAACAGCCAGTATATATACAGGTATTACGACTTGTGTTTCCACTTACCGGTGCCATCCCAAACGCATCATAATGAGTGACAATGGCAATGGTCGGAAGCTGCTCGTCGATTCCAATTCCAGACAACTTCCCCTAAAAAAAAGACGGAATTTACAAGTAAACACTGTGGCTACACACTACATGTATACAGTCACCTACCAGGTAGCACAGACTTCCTATTGAATATGTCATTTGGTCTTTTACTTTTATTCAGCTTCTTATAAGAGCACTCCCTAGTTTCATACTTTCATAAGTTTCATCAGAGTGAATTGTGTTCAATGGACTACAGCCCTGGTTAAAAGTATTGGGACAGTTTGCACTTTTGCCAATGTATGGTCTTTCTGTCCACCTCTCTCTCCCACCCCCCAACACAATGTTGATGTTGATTCATCCATATTAGACCCACTAATCCAACATTTGGTGGGGGGGTGGGGGGGGGGGGCGGTTGGCAAATTAAATAATGACTTCCCACTTCAAAATAATGCGTGCCCGAGGACTTTTGACCTGGATTGTGGATCAGAATTTTCCTCAGAAGGTGAAATGCACTCTACCAAAAGTATGTTGTACAGTGAAAAAATGTTGCAAAGTTCTCTTCCACTCTATGCAACAAATCTGAAAGAGTGGCTTTTTGACAGAGCTGTTAATCTCCTTTCTACTCTCGGCTCAGGTGAGGTACAGTGTAACCAAACTGAGTGTGATTCATGGAGAAAGGGATTTAATAACATATTCTTATGGGTAAATTACAAAATTCCTGCAGATGTGACTGACACTTTGATGGAAAAGAACTTCTGGTCAGACCAAAACAAGGTTAAAAAAGAACCACTTCCCAAGCACAGGACCAGGGGTTTCATTAAGGACTTCACTCTGGTAGTGGGCAACCTTGTTTGCAACAATCTACCCTTCTCCTCAGAAATTATCTTTAATTAATAATTATCTTTAATTAATAAGTCTCTTGACAGGTACACATACAAGGGTAAACAGACCAAAATAAAAACCCAAACTACTATATAAATATGTGTATGCATGTACATGTCTGTTATGGCCTAAAATGCTTGTAAACTACATGAAAACTCTATGGATGGCACATGGCTACACTTATGTGGGGGTCTCATGCACTTCTCTAACCCATACCAATACATACAATAATATCACATCAAAAACTGCAGACATTATCAATACCTGTAGACTTGTAATAGCCATATCTTTAATCTGTTTGGCTTCTCCCACACTCACAACCATTTGATAACCACTTGCAGAAGCCACTCCAAGTAAAGCTAGATTAAAAAAAAGAATTAAAAGTAGCATAACTCTTGTAACAGTAAACACAGGGGAGGTGTATTTTTGACAGGGTGTGGTTACACCTTTAATGTCAGGAAGTTATAAAATAATGACAGTTAAACTNTTGTAACTAGTGCCCATAGGGCTTCATTCTGGGCGAGTTTGAAGAAATTCGATTTTTTCGCTATTTCCGAGTGTAGTTGATATTTAGGCGAAGCTGCTCTTAATTTGTGAATGAATTTACCAATATCACTGGACAAAGTTGAGCAAAACATTGTGATTTGGAAGTGGTGAGCAGATTAATAATTATTTGCCAAAGCCAAAGGCCAAGGCAAATAATTGATCTGTGAGAGAGACACTGACAAATCATGTGGTGAGCTCTTGGTCAATGAAAAGGAAGAAAAAAATACATCAAATGATAATTCCAATTGTTTCACAGCTACATGTACAGTCATAATAATAACTGTAACAGACTACATGTAACTTATGTTGCAAATTAATTAAGCTCTTGCAAAGTGCTATCGTGACACAAACTGTCATCCTTTAAATGATAAGCATCTCCTCTGAATGAAACACACCGTAAAATGAGCATGCTAAATATTTGTGCATACCTTCAAATGCTGACCCAGCCTGGTCACTAGTGACAGCTGTTTTGATATCATCATAAATTTCAGTTAGCTCTTTGTCTTCATAAGCAAAATATACAGCTACAGGCACCTCAACAGTTAAAAGATCTCTCTCCAGCTGCTGCCACTCCTATACAATACCAACATTACATGTTGACAAAGACTGTTTGTATTTATCCAGGACAGACATGTAAGCCAAGTAATAACCACAACCTACAGGTACATGTACATGCACTGTAACAGTACTGAGTACTGAGAGAATTGCAAAAATATACCGGTACCTTGACTTTTATAAAGAGCGATAACAGATCCAAACAAAAGAGAACTCATAATAAACATTTATGATTTCTCTGGGTTATTAAGGACAGATGTCTGTAAACGGGAAGGGGTGGGGGGGGGGGGGGGCAGGGTCGAGGCTAGGCCTTCCATTTTATTAAAAAAAAATGGAAGGTCCACTTTTCAGATTATATTTCTGCCATTGTGGCAGATTTGGTCAAATTGCTCAATTAAAAAAGTGTAGCTGATATGGCAAGTCGCATGTAAATAGCCACCTACTGAATCAGAAGTGTTAAGATTATTACAGTATATCATCACAGAGATCTACCTAACTAGAGATCACATTATAGACAAGGCCTTTAAAAATGTAACAAATCATGCCATTTTCTAACTGCATGTACATATATAATGTGATAAAATTGTAGCAACGTTCTCTTCCACTCAAGGCAACAAATCTGCAATCAAGAGTGGCTTTTGACAAAGCTGTTAGTCTCCTTTCTCCTCTCGGCTCTAGTAAGGTACAGTGTTACCGAACTGAGTGCAATTCATGGAGAAAGGAATTCAGGTTGATAACATGAAATTCAAACTCTTATCTTTTTCCTCAAGTTTGAATCAGTACATTACAAAACTTAGCACTGTTGCCAACTTCGGTACAGCAATTCTGTTTATAAACCAATTGTTGCATCTTTAAAAGTGTTTTTTACCTCCATTTGTTCGAGGGAAGCAACAGATGTGTTCTTTGGAAGCAGTATTAGCATGGCTCCTGCCCCTAAGGATTGAACAGCTTCTTTAAATCTCTCAATAGTTAGGTCTGACAACCTTGTCACCACACAGCGTCTTGTTAACATGTCAGAGGTCATGGGTCGTGCCTCCATGTTCACCAATGAACTACGAGAGCCTGGAAGAGAAATCCATGTCAATCAATTTAGTATAATAATTGATAGTTTATGAATTCAGTCAACCCAGCTGTTGTTTTGAAGGGAACTCTGCAAATTTGTGCAACAATGTTCTCATATTGATAGACAGTTTACTTGAAGCCGCTTTTATCCTTCCATTAAATTTTTCTAGAGTAAGTTAGCAAGTTTCAAAATTGAGTTTTGACAAGTTCTGGTTTTCAAAAAATTTCCCCTATAAAATAAAACAGAGACAACCCTTTGCAAGTTACCATCCCAAATGCTGTAGGGTCACTCATAGTAAATGGTTTCTTACGACAAGTACGACAATAGGGGCTTTAAATTTTGGGTCATAGCATGTAGTCATTTCCAAGGCCCAATTCACCTCAAATCATCAGCCCTAACATTAGCTGCAGTGTGGTTGTCAATGAGAGGTTCTAACTACAGTGATTTGACAAAATTTAGCATAATTTGTGAAAAGCGGTCATTTACAGGACTTTGAGAAAGTGGTCATTTACGGGATGTAGTCACACAGGAGAGGTGGGTACTACATCTATGCCAAGTCTCCTGGATATAGACCTACATGTATGTAAGCTCTCAGTCTTGTGTACCACTCAACAAGTGTCCCAAGCAAGCATAAAATAATTTTTCACGTATATTTTGGCCAGTTTTTTGGGAAGCTTTGCGATATTTCGACGCATTTTTGGGTTTGAATTTATGGAGCTCTGCTTTGAACAACTGTTTTTAGGGTGGAAAAGGTAAAATTGGCCATCTCCCAGATTTCAATTATTTTTTTGTTGGCATCTCTTTGGCCATACCGGGAGGTTTTACTGGAACACCACCACTGTTTGAACTAGGGGGCTAATAATAATTACAATCCATCAAATATTTTTCTCACGCCTGATTAGTCTAAACACGTCAAGTGACTGAATCTTCCACAGCTAAAACTGGGGAATATTCAAGAATATTCCCCAATTTTCAAAACTGCATGCGTTGCGAAAAAGATTTGAAGAATAATAAACACAATAGCCTCCATTTGGGGCGAAAATATGCTCGGATATTTGTCCTTGGACATTATCTGTTCCTCA